GACTCCATAGACAGAATTATCCAAATTAAAACCTCATAACATAAAATCTCAGTACTTAACGCATAGCATAGCACCAAAACAGTGACATTTCCTGTTTTGAAAACTGTTGCTGACTACTGAGGGATTTCAAGACCTGTTAACACAGGTCATGCAGTTGTTTTAGTACAAGTGTTAAACTTATTACGGGGGAATGAAAAATGAATCTATATGTCTATTGAACTCTTTCCCCACTAGAAAAGTATCTGTGACCGTTACTCATTCAGAATGCTGATAATACATGTTCGAGTATAAATTGAAGGAAAGTAAAGATTTTTCTCTCTGTTTTCAACTTCCAATCTGTTTATAATAAGCACAGAACACTTGTAATTGAACTATACATAATTAAATATGCAACGTTGTTTAATGTAATTTTATATGAATAAGCTGATAAGCACACCAAAGGGTGGCCAATTAGTCCTCTGAAATACTGAAAGAGGACTATATATACTGATGTATCCATCCTCACCGCAGCTAGTGCCCCATGAATTCTTCACCAGCCAATACTTGGTCCCATCATCATCTTGTCCATAGCCAACTGCTGTAACCCCATGCTCCAGGTAGGTGGTGCATTCGCCGGTGAAGATACCACTTTTGTAGTGTTGGAAGTCAGCCCCACCGGCATCAATGGCAACTGAGACTGGCTGATTGGCCACAGCTTTTAATAGTGCTGACTCACTGTTTGAAGGTACATCTTCGTAACTGGTGATCTTCGCTGCATGGTTGGTTGATTCTTTCTTGTTGCAGATTCCATCAACTCCTTCATAGGGATAATTGGTTTCGGTAGTGAGTCCTTTGTTTGAAATGATAAATTCAAATGCATCGTCCACGAGACCACCGTTGCAACCTTGGTCTTCGCCATTGACATCACAATCAACCAACTCCTGCTCTGATAGTGAGATCAATGTACCGGTTTTGAGCTTGGTAATCCCTTCCATGGCTGCCACAGATGAGAACGCCCAGCAACATCCTATATGATCCCAACCGAAAGAAAAAATTAGCATTGTGGAATCATAATTATTTCAATTTCTTTACAAATTCCTATGCTTACCACATTGGCCTTGGTCCTTGATGCCGGTCACAGCTCCTTTCTTTCTCCAATTCATGCTAGACGGAACTGCAGTGATATTTTCATACCTGAAAGAAGATGTTTTGGAAGATGGAACAGTGTTGGAAGGTCGCATTTTATAACCATTTCGCATGGTTTTAAACTCTTCATTCGTCATGTCGGTGAATTCATTAACACCTAGCTTGTACTTTTTACTGGTATGAGCATTGTGGGATTCGATATACTCCACGTTTCTCCTTCTCTGGTGCATCCTGATAAACTCCGCTATAACTCGATGCCCATTGTTCAAACCCGTCAGACATGGATAGCTCAGGAACAGAACGAGAAGAGAAGCCCAAATTCCCAAGACAAAGAGTAATGCCAAACATTGAGTTGTCGGAGCCATTGTTAGAGACGAGAAAATGTGGGTTATGAGGGATGCAAAATCATAAGATGGCTTGGGGTTTATATAGAGAGGGTTTCCCAAGCCATGCTTCTCCCATATTTGTAACAGACAAAAGACCTCCTCGTTCTAAGTGCACTGCAAAATGTTCCAACAGGGACTCCATCCTAATTTGATTACTTAACAAGACTCTATTTCGTATCGATGTGAAATTCTTTGCTTATAAAAGTGGTGGCAATAAGTCCAATAATAGATTCTAAAGTGCAGAAAATTTTCAGCAGCGTTTTAACATAATTCAACAATTCGTATTTTGATGGATGTATTATTAGAATGCATGCATCTGACAAAATAAGGGCCCGAAATATTTATTTTCAGATATTAAACCCAAGAACTGACGGCGCTAGTTAGCGTGCTAAGGCTGGCTAATAGTGATTATACAAACTCTACAACCTTACAAGCTACGAGCGTGGGACAATTAGTGTAGATCGAACTGCCATTTTCGCTTGCTACGCAATGACAAGACTGGTGCGGTGCGAAGCCATTGATATCGGAGCTATACGACCAGAAAAATCCAAGGTAAGTGAAGATTTTTCTTTGTGTTTCAACTTTCAAGGCGTTTACAATAAGTACAAAACAATAATATCGGAGCTATACGTATGTAGCGTTGTTTCATATAGTTTTTCATGAAAAGCTGATGAACACATGCATTTTTTCTGAAGGAGGCAATTAGTCCTCCGAAATACTGAAAGAGGACCATATATGCTGCAATAGTATACAGTGTGTTTTCTTCAAGCAGTTGATAAGAGGCTTCCATTGCAAGACCTTCTTTGGCATCAATACCCCTTTCCATTCTGTTGCATCCATCCTCACCCCAGCTAGTGCCACATAAATTCTTCACCAGCCAATACTTGGTCCCATCATCATCTTGTCCATGGCCAACTGCTGTAACCCCACGGTCTAGGTAGGTGGTGCATTCGCGGGTGAAGACACCACTTTTGTAGTGTTGGAAGTGAGCCCCACCGGCATCAATGGAAATTCAAACTGGCTGATTGGCCACGGCTTTTAATAGTGCTGACTCACTGTTTGAAGGTACATCTTCGTAACCGGTGATCTTAGCTGCATGGTTGGCTGATTCTTTCTTGTTGCAGCTTCCATCAACTCCTTCATAGGGGTAATTGGTTTCGGTAGTAAGTCCTTGGTTTGAAATGATAAATTCAAACGCATCATCCATGAGACCGCCGTTGCAACCTTGGTCTTCGCCATTGACATCACAATCAACCAACTCTTGCTCAGATAGTGAGATCAATGTACCGGTTTTGAGCTTGGTAATGCCTTCCATGGCTGAGAACAACATCCTATATGATCCGAACCGAAAGACTCCAATATTTGTAACAGACAAAAAACCAAACACCCTCATTCTACGTGCCCTGAAAATTGTTCTGACAAAGACTCCATGCGAATTTGATTGCTTAATGAGATTCTATTTCGTATTAATGTGAAATTCTTTGATTATATAAGTTGTGGCAATAAGTTGGATAATAGATTTCGACCATCTTCAGGTTGCATACGTAGCACCGAAGAATATGTCAAGAAACAAGTATTGGAATACTATTTCGAATTCAAGTTTTTTCGAAAACGAGTCGAGTTTCAATTTTTTATTTCAAATTCTAATCGAACTTGATGATTTGTAACTATATTAATTTGTTATTTAATTAAATAAAAAGATATATTTATGTATAAAAAACATATTTTGAGTGAATATGAGATATTTTTAATTATATAAATATCATCATTATTCTATTTAACTTTTGCTTTAAATTTTAGGCTAAATTACACGATTTATAATTTTCATTTAAGTTTTGTATATTTTTCCTCATTAACTTTAAAATACATAATACTTTGTCATTTTTCGTTTTTATTTAATTAAAATGTGGTCATTAAGAGTTAATTGTTGTTAGACCTTTAACGGATTGCTGATGTGGAAATGAATTTATAAAATTAAAAAAGGGTAAACAATACAAATGGTCACTGATATTTGAGTAAGTTTTCATTTTCCCCACTAAAATTTCAAAAGTAACAAATTGGTCATTAAAACATCAAATAGGTCATTGAACAATGATTGTATATCTAATTTACCCCAAAAGCTTTCTAGTTTTTCCAATTTTTCTAATTTTTATATATATACTTTTTAAAATTTAAAAATAAAACTTAGAAATTGACTTTTTTGAACATGAAGTAATCGAATATTTCGAACAATAAACAAAAAAATTACAAAGCTTTTGGAATAAATTAGATATAAAATAATTGTTCAATGATTGTTTTAGTGACCAATTTATTAGTTTCAAAACTATAGTGGGGGAAATGAAAACTTACTCAAATAATAGTGACCATTTGTATAGTTTACCCTTTCTAATTTTATGAATTCATTGGGTCAATGTCAACAATCCATTAAAGATCTAAAGATTGTTAACCCTCGGTGACCACATCTTAATTAAATAAAAATAAAAGTGATCAAATCTTAATTAAATAAAAACAAAAGTAACAAAGTATTATGCTTTTTGAATTAAATGAGAAAAAATGTATAAAAAAAAGCTTAAACGAAAGTGATCAATAGTATTATTCACCCTAAATTTTACTGGGATAATAAAGACATAATAGAGTTAATTTGACTAAATCTTTAAATTGTCACTCAAATTTTAAATTGGCTCGTAATTTTAAAATATTCTATATGAATTATTGAAGTAGTGATATCATATCAATCAAGTTTTTTCATCTAATTAGTTGTCAATTTAGACGTTAAATGCTGATTTGATCCTAAAAAATATATAAAATTCGTGACACATATATGTATCACAATTATTACTTCCTTTTTTATTGTGTTAGACCAAATAATTCACACACAAAATACACATTTATAATACAGTTTATATGCTCCATGTCAAATAATTAGTGCGGCATATGAACATAAATCCATTTAGAATTTTGAAGGTTTAAAAGACTCATTGAGGATGCCCTTCCTATAATTTTAGTTTCTTCTAGCTATGTTCCTGCATTTAATCGACAATGGCTATTCAAAACCATTCTCTTCTCCTCTTCTCTCACCCAACACTCTTCGTTTCTGGCATTACCGAACCTCATAAACGAGAGTTCTCTCCTACTAAACGACCGCAGGAGCCCTCACCGTCACTTAGACCACTCTCGTTGTGATCGTTCTGAGGTCAATAGCTCTCTTAGATTGATCAAGAAAATGCAGAAAAAACCGATTGTTTTCCGGATCGGCACACTAACAATATGTCCAACACCTAGGTTAGATGCATATCTAGACACGAATATTAAAATATAACCCCTTCAAATACAATAAATTTCTTCTAAAAATAATTGAATATACCCATATCGACAAGAACCGCATATGCTACAATCACCGGGAATATTCGCATCATTGATATACATGTGAAACCAAAACACAAATGCAAAAAAAAAAAAAATTGCCATTAAAGCAAGGTAGGCAATCTCAGTCGGCCTATGACTACGAAAATATTCAATATCATTCTATACGATATAATAGAAATCTAATCGGTCAGAGGAGTTAAACGCATGCTCACTACGGGGTAGGACGTGCTCTTCAAATCACTCAAACACAAATACGTAAAAATAACCTTTTCCGGCTGCAGCTGCACCCATAATATCGGTACAAATGAATGCTGTACAATACAATCATATACCCTTAAGAATCGAGTGTCTCTCAAGGATGTTTTTGTGCACCAGGTGGTGCTGTTGGCCTTGGAAATTGAGCATCAGCGACGCTAGGGGCCTCCACATACGGGCTCTACAATATCAAATTGTTTCAAGTCAGAATATACACAAACATAGAGCTGAACCATATCTCAGTTACGGAACAGCTAATCACGAACGGTTAATAGTGCTACAGAATGGAATCTGGAAAAAGGATCTGTAGCTGTCACATTGATAAAAAGAATTTATTGATCAGCTTAATAACCATACCTGTGGCTGTGAAGTGAACGGAGAATGAGACAAGTCGTTCTTGGTTGGGGACTTTGTCGATCCATCTGGAGGATTGCCGTTATGACTTGGTTCAATTCCATCCAATCTAGCATTACTGCTTAGCACAGGATCACTTTCATTTCCATTTGTTGGCTTGACCCTCTATATTCATACCATAGCATTTCCAGGAAAGCTCAGGATAATTAAAGAAGTGATAAGAAGAGAGGGGAAAAGACGAAAAAATGGAGAGAAAGCATGAGAAAAATCACACATACATACCTCAAAGATTTTACCAAGAGTTTTCAACCCTTTTGCTCGTGCTCGAAGCTCTTCCCTCTTGCAAGTATTATCTTGGAGAACCTAAAACAAGGATTTAATAGATTACAGGAAACATACAACTATCGAAACCATTACCATCTAACAGCCTTAAAAGAAGAGACTAATGAAACAACCATTTCACAAACATGAGAAATAGTGGCTTCTATGTCGGCTACATTAAGCTTCCATAATGAATCAATCATCAGCTTCTTGTGAGATTGCATATACTCCTCGAGCTCCTGCTCACTGTAATTTCCTTCCGCGCTAAGCTGCTTCTTCATGTCCTCCTGCAGCTGAAGCAAAGCAATTGCACCTACACCAACAAGCGAAAAAAATAATTCAATGGAACAATTCTTCCTGAAATGGATCATCTTTCTAAGAAACACTAACAGCACAATTGATTTATCCTTTGTAAGTATTGACTGAACAGCCCACCCTTTAGGCTTTTAGTTACCAGTAAAGTCAGTTGAATTAACAACAAATCATAATTGTACGAAGTACAAACCATTGAAGTTTGCAGCATTTACTAACCTGTTGCAGCAGTTACTTGGGATTTAATAAAATGACCTTTAACCCTAAACCACTCAGCGACAAATGGAACACCCAAGTATATTGCTTTCTTCCCAAGTTCTTTTGCTGCTTGTCTTGAATAGATGTAACCAATTGTATTCAACATATCAACACCATAAGCTGTAAAACATATACCACAAAATCTATCACAACTCAAAATAAATAATGATGATGATGATTAAGAATGAGGGAACAAGAAATACAAAGGAGATAAACCTATCCCAAATTAAGATTGCTGGAAAATAGATATACAAGAAAAACAATATATAAGTGCTTTTCAGCAAGCTGAAAAGATCCCGGACTAGATTAAATCCTCAGATTTTATAATCTACCATTTGTGGAGAAAAAGATGGAACCCCAATGCAAGTTTCAACTGTAATATTTGTCAGAAGGTCCCTTTTTTCAAAAGCATATGCCAGTTCAATTTTGTCTTCAATTTGGTATTTCTGACAGCCTACTAAGGCAGTTCATGTAATATTTCATAATGTCAAATCATGAGTGCCGAAGAATCGTGAATATGATTACTGACAGTAATTCATCCAAGAAGATGAAAAATGATTTTCAATTTCTCTCACCCTCATGCATCATTTCTACAGAAGATAATAGTACCTGCACTAGAGAGCCTTGATACTTCAGCTTCTGCATGCTTAGCAAAATCCTCTTTGTTTCCTTGCACATATTGATTTAGTCGATCTTTCAATAATTGTGCAAGCTTTTCTTCTCTTTCCTTCTGAACAGCCTGTAGCCAAAAGCATTTAAAGTAAAAAATGATTTATAACCTCTGATACTATGAAAGGATGCAAGCAACAGAAAAAACTCGTACCACTGGTTTAAAAGATTTTGTTCTACTTTCCACTGGTGCTACAATACTCGGAATAACAAAATTTTATTGGAAGAAAGTGATGAGGGCCAAGGGATAATATTAATGAATAATTTATCTACCGAAGTTAATCAAAAAGAAAGTATACCATCAAACCAAAGTTTCATCATTGTACTGAGAGTAATTTATCTACTTTATCAATTTCACATGTAAAAGGGAATAGAGGTAAATAAATCATTTCTTATAACTGAAAGACAGGGACAGAACTATATAGAGGTTGGGAGGGCAATCCCCGCCAAAAAAATGGTCTAATGGAATTTTAGGCCCCTGTCAATTTAGATCTTAATCAAATTAATACTTGCTCCCACCCCAAATTTTTGGGCTTTAAGCAATTTGGCCCCTCCCAATGTTTGATCCTTGGTCCATCCCGGCTGAAAGATATGCATTACCTCATACATGCTAAAATCATATAGAATATTATAGAACAAAATTAACTTTAACTCCTACAGCTTTTTTTATTGTCTTTGAGAAAACCCTGTAAGGAGATCAAGAACAAAAAGGTGGAAGTGACCCTATGATATGCATTTCCTCATACATGCTAAAATCATATAGAATATTACAGAACAAAATTAACTTTAACTCCTACAGCTTTTTTTATTGCCTTTGAGAAAACCATGTAAGGAGATCAAGAACAAAAAGGTGGAATTGACCCTATGATGATAGTGACCTCTTGTAAAAATTTAGTAGCACCTTGTTATCAAAACCCAAAAAAAAAATTTATTATCAAGCAATCAATTTTATTATCATTTAAAATTGACAAAAGATAAAGAATGTGATAATAAAATAATAAGCACCCCTCCCTTTCTCTTTTACAATTGGAATATGTGGGGGGGGGGGGGAAGAAGAAAAGGGACCATCACCTAGATCCCCTGGAATATCAAAGCCTGTTTGCCTTTTCATGTAATAATTAGGACCCAGTCCCAATGTGTATATAAAACAAAAGACACAAAATGGGTGTATGTGTCACCTTGAAAACATCGGGTAGATTTAGAAAACTTGTAAAGTCAAAATTAGTTTGCCCACATCTACAACACTAAACTAACCATGAATTACAGGAAATTAGTTGAGGGAGGTATGATACATGACACACAACCCTTTGCAACCCTTTAACATGACACACAACCCTTTGTAACTCTTTTAAAAAAAATCAACCTGCTTTCTTCATCAAATTAAATGTTTCTATTAATAGTTTGATTGTCACTCTTAAAATTTCAAAAACCTTGTGCCTAGTTTCTAACAATTTATTTGTACCCCGTATAACATCCAATTGTAGTCCTGCATCAGATGTGAACCATTTCTCTATGATAAAGTACTTGACCCCCTGAGATTATCATTCCTAATCCAGGTAAAAGTACTGTGAGTCAGTTTTGAAAACTGCCATATATTTGTAAAACGAATTTCAACTCTATATTCAACAATATGAGGATTACAAACAAGGCAAAAGACAATTCACTGTTTACTGAATGAATGCTCTTTTTGCCTATCACTTCCTTCAATCACTCACTCACAATCAAAATCTGAGTAAAAAAAGGTCTAAATCATCTACATACATAGAAAGATAAGAATTTTTACCCTCATTTTTTCCTGCAATTTTTTAGCATCAAACTGCTCCCCTTCCGTGAAAATGTCCAGTGAGGCCATTGATGCCATGGCAAGTTTTCCTATATATTCTTCAAAAAGTTCACTACCAAAAAGCATTGCAAATATCGCTGCAGGATCGATAATTGCCTCACTGCAAAAAAAAAAAGAAGAGAAAAAGCCATCAAATAAATAGAATGAGAGAAGACTATATTCCTTTCAATTTTTAAAAAATGTGTATGAGCCTTGAAAATTGATATATTCATAGAGAAGGAAACTAGCGTCGAGATTCCTGATTTCCCATGAACATCATATGCTTGCCGCTGTTTCGCATCACTTAATACTTGGTAAGCCTCTCCCAACACCTGAACAGAACTTAAGAAAAATAAAAATTCTAAACAATAATTCAAATAACAAGGTCGGGATCCAATGCAATGAACATATGGTACAGACAGAGTCAAGCAGTTTGCACCTCAGCACTTGCAATGTTCAAAAGGATTTGATGATATAGTCTTAATTAAAGAGAACGTCAAAAAATCACAAATGACCTCAGAAATAAAAATGTAACGGCTTGCCTGAAATTTCTCAGCTGCTTGAGGATCATTTGGGTTTTTATCCGGGTGCACTTTTCTTGCCTGCATACAATAAAGAAATTGAAATTGTTTATCCCTTTTTTGTTCTTTAAGGTCACAATCTATTATCAGAATCAATTTTATACGGATTAAATAACCAAACCCAGAATAAATCTAGACCCAGATTTTGAATTTGATTCCTCTAAGTTCCCAAGAATATGGAATTCGAAAATTGCAAAGGAAACAGGGTAACTTGAATTGATCGACATTCCATAAATAAAAGAAACTGCGATTATTACAACCAGATTGAATTCAAACATGTCTAATACTTAAAAGACGACCCAATTCAAACAGATTATGAAAACGGAAGAAAAGGGAAATTAGATTAAACCTTTATATAATAAGCTTTCTTGATTTCGGACTCTGTAGCAGAAGGGCTGACACCTAATATATCGTAGAATTCAGTCTCCTTCACCATTGCCGTTCAAGAACCAGAATTTTGCAGAGATTATTATTTTTTTCTGAAAAAAAATTAAAAAAATGCGAGAAAGAAAAGAAAGGGTTTGGTTTTATGATCGGAATGAATGTGAAATTGAAAAGAAAAAAAAAAGAATCAAAAATGAAAAAGAAATGTGAAAACGATGGAACAAAAGAGAAGAAATATTCCAAAATTAAATGAAATGGAAATGAAAAGCCGCGAATTTTGGCGTCACTCCACGCGCAGCCTCACACCTGTCGATTTCATCTCATATTCAATTCCTTTGTTGTTGTTTGTTTTTTGAAAAATCAATTCCTTTGCAGCGTTGACTATTGCATCTCTTCTGCTGCTGCTGCTGCACGTTCAATTCCCTTTTGGGGCCAAATTGCAATTGACGTCCCCAAACGATTTCTAAATTGATTTTAAAATTTTAGAACGTTCTAATTAAATCTTTTTCTTTTCAATCAGATCCTTTGAATTGAATCGACTTCAGTTTTGACGTTAAATGCTGATTTAGATATGATGTGTTACTAAGAATATTGGGTTAATAGTTCTTTATCCACTCGACATTTTCTTATTGAATAGTAAATGAAGACGGTTAGTTAACCATTAATACTACCTATTAATATGAGATACACACATGAATTAAAAAATTTGTGTGATGTCACATCACTAAAACGATAAAAAAAATTAATTATTTTTTATTAAATTACTAACAACTAATTATACAATGACATGTGACATCATTTAATTGATTTAAAATAATAAAATTAAATTGATTTTAATTATTAAATTATCATGTCATTTGAATTTTAACAACTCAGTGACGTAATTAAAATTTAAATTTAAATTCAATATTATAACTGAAACCATTAAAAATTTAATAGTATGAAGGATATGTTATCTAAAGTTGAGTAATATATGATATATATTACCCTAATTTGTTTTTTAAAAAAGAAATCGGGACTTGTCCCCCACGGCAAGCCGTGTACAACTCTAGTCGATAAAAGCTTCCATCTTGCTCATCAAAGTTTGAGACTTTACCTCGTCAATGTGAATCTTGAGAGCGAAAAAATCGTTCCTTTGGTGCTAAAAGCTCAGTTTCAATCATAACACGACAAAATGTATGTGCCCTCTTCATCCTCCTCGAGACTCGCCTCTTCTTTGCTCAAACATATCATCAATCCTCATCAAGTCATCCCCTTTAACATCCCATCTTCCTCTTCTAAACTTCTTGCTAAGTACCCTTCAAATCCCACATCGCCAAAACCTTCTTTTTCACCTCTTCTCTTTCTCTCCATTCGAACAACCCCTTTTCGAAAACTTAACCCCTTTTCCCCACTAGGGTCGATGCTGTTCTCCTCTAAAAGCTTCTTTAAGAACCTAGTAATGCCTTGGAAGTCCACTCTGTCAAGGTACCGTGAGGCTATTGGTTTACGATTCGATGCGTTTTTCAATAGGAATTATGGTGTTTGGGCTTTGGGGAGCTTTGATTTGTGCTTGGCTATGGAGGATTGTGTTTGGTGTTTCTAGCAGTTTTGTAACTGTTGGCCACTTTGAAGAAATGGCTAAGCTTTGGTTTCTTGCTGATCTTTACCTTTTAATGGCTGCTTTTGCTGTAAGTAATCTTTTTTGGACTGTTTAATTGGGATTTTAATTGCTTTACTATAGAGGAACTGATATTGTCAACTTCTGTTTTTCTGGGTTGCTTGACGTTGGGTTGATTGTTCATACATTCTTCGGTTAATGCGTATAAACAAATGTCATCATGGCACCGGGACCTGACCAGCGGCTATTCCTAATTGGCGATGAAGAAGAGTACAAGGTTGGAGTTGGATTGATTTCCGAGCTGAGATCCCGCAGTGAGAGCAATGGCAGCAACCAAAGAATTCGATGATCTAGACCGAATGGAGGACGAGGAGGACGAAAGAAAGCACCTGGAAGAGGTCGAGAAGCTCGAAAAAGACGTAGCTCGACATTGCTAGCTAGTTGTTGGTTTCGCTGGAGGTTTGATAATGCCGGATAACACGAGTCGGCCAGGACTGACCTGGCGTTATATACTGCTAGTGAGTTGTGGCCATTGCTGCCAAATAGTTCAAGCATTGCAGACAAATGGCCCTGCTGAAGCAAATAAACCCGACCTTTGAAGCACCGTGTACGTAATGAACAATAAAAACGCGGTGATACAAGTCGGAGCGAAGTTGGTGCCCCGAACATGACCGAGCCGTGACTAGGCTTGGTCCAGGACTGGTCTAGTCCATCGCTACCAAGTACCAACACACCCATGGATGCCAATGGTTTCCAACTAAAGAAATTAAGCTAAATGTGGCATAACTAGGGGTGTGCATTTTTTATACCGATATTATCCGATCTGAAATTTAGGATATACGAAAATTTCGGATCACTAAAATTGCGATCCGTATTCGGTTTTTACCGATTAGATATTCAGATATCCGATCCGAATATAAATTTTAATTTGATAAAAAAATTAATTTAATATTTTAATGCATATTAATGATACAATTTCTAATTTTTTGAGTGAGAAGCACCGTAATTTATTTTATGATAAAAAATGATTTAATATATATATATATATTTAAATTTTTAATACCTTGTAGATGCTAATATTTGTTTCACAAAATTAAAGCATTTTCCCTCCACAATTCGTGCAACATTTCCCATTCAATGGGATGTTAGCAGAGTAAAAGAAAATACCCATAAAAGAATAGCTTCCAGTATTCTACTGTTGGTTGTTTTAGTTTAAAATAGAAGCTTAATTGTTTCCACGCTGGGGTGGGCTTGGGATTGTTGGGTTATCTGATTAAAATTTCCTAAGGGCCCAGCTTTCTATCGGGTTTTCGGATAATCCGAAAGTCAATTTTAGTCGATCCGTATTCGATCTGATTATCTTATTTTTTGTCGGATATCCGATCTAAACTATCCTAAAATTGAAAAAACGGATCGGATCAATAAATCAGATCGGTCGAATCAGATTTTTTTTTCGCATCCCTAAATATAACTTGTGGGTCTTAAACGTTTAACGAACCACTGAACCACAAAGACCTATTGCTTACATCCAACTGCCCTCTCAAGCTATGCAAAAAGAACCTACGCTATTTCTGGTATTAGAGAGGACCTGTCAACAGGACAGGTTGGGTTGGTTTCATGTCCGAACAACTCGTGCATTAAAATTTTTGGATCATTCTGAGTTCGGGTTGTTTAGGATTCAGGTTCTTCGAGTTTGTCAGTCGAGACATTTTGTGTCACTTGTTTGGGTCGTTTTGAATTTGAGTTGGGTGGAGTCGGTTTATTAATTCGTTTGTATTGATTGGATCAATTTGAGTTTTAAAATTTTTGAAGGTCACGTTGAGTTCGAGTCATTTGGATTTTCCAAGCAAAATTTTCGATTCTACATGTTTTCAATTTTTCATTTGGGTTTGATATTCAAGTTTGGGTCATTTTAGATTATTTATTCGAGTCATTCCAAGTTTTGGATAATTTTAGATTCAGGTCATTTTTTACTGGATTAATTTTGAGCCCGAATGAGGTAGATCATGTTATTGGCTTCTTTACATCAAATTAGATTAAATTATGTTTGAATCAGATCAATCGAATATGAGTTTAGAGTTTGAATATTCATATCCGGAATTATTTCTAACAACTTACAGTTGAAGACAAACGTAGAAGCTAAAAGGACTGTCCACGTGAATGAAAGTGGCCTTTTGAATTATTAGCACATTTGTTGTTGCTTATCAAAGTTAATTCCAAGGTCCAACCCTTTAATCATAATAAATTCTCCTTCTGTTCTCAATTTCATCATTATCTCCTTGAATTATATTCAAATTCAACACCTTAATAAATAATAGTTTTTTAATATGATCATTAATATCCAATCTATTAATCAATTAATATAAATCGAATATCTTACAAAAAATTATACGATAATTCTCTCAATCTAATTTACTTCATTTACACACTATTATATTTCAAACTCTAAATTTATAGGTTAAGTCCCTGCATGATTGGTTCACTTTTGATCCATTAAAAAGAAATAAAGAAGAAAAAGAAAACCCCTTTAGCTTTCATGCATGTAAAAGCAAACAAAAGATGTAGTGATAGGGAAAGCAACCATAACTTTTATGACCAATGGTCCATTGTAATGGACCTCGAACCCCTTTAATAGACCATCCCCACAGCGCAATTTGTTTGGTCAGATTATGAATTTAGTCCCTTCATTATAAGAATTTCCATAATTTAATCCTTATACTTGAATCTGATATTGTTTGTTTCAGGAGCAAATCCATAATCTTTTAGGGTGTAAAGTCTAGTTATAAAGTTTTAATGGGAGTCAAAAATTGAAGTCTTTCATTTGATCTTGTTTCATTAATTTCGACATTTGGTAATGTTTCACCCACTCCAAATCTGTCCTGATTTTCAAGATAATAAATTTATATGTGACCCAACTCAAATAATTATTCAACAAGATAGAGAGATAATTGAATACATGCAAGATCATGAAACATTATAATAATTATCTCTAAATATATGGAGAGAGACATCATAGTAATTATATGTGTTGGATAGTGACATTTTAACTTAAAATTGACTCAGTCTCAGTCTCGATTCTATACTCTAAAAGATTTACCTGATTTGACATGATCTGAATCTAAATTAAAAAAGACAACTTTATAAAGTGGGTTGAAATTCGTCGGATTCAGATATTTTAAATATCCTTAATCATTGTATGTATTGTAAGAGTTATTTTCATATTTGATCCCTATATATTTTCAAGGTAAAACCTCTTACAATTCAAGTTTTCTAACGAAGTTTGCTCTCCAGTCCACTCCATCTACCAACCTGGAGGATATATCTCAAAAGCTAGTAAATCAACACCACAACTAACTCAGATTTAGAGCCTCTAGCTAAGCACCCAATTCTTCTGCATTTATAACCCTTTTTTATATCCAGTTGTGCTCCCTAGGGAGTCAATGAAATTAATTACATACATACATACATATATAATACTAATATAATAACAGATACTGCATAAGTTGGTGACAACTATATTGCCTGAGAGGTAACGAAGGTTGCTTTTTTCCAGTGCAGTGTAACGAAGAATAATGCTGTCACTTTTGCTTTTTCTTTATGATGTTGCGTTATCTTTTCTTCCCCCCCCCCCCTGGATGCTTTGCTTTACCAGTTTGCTTTTGAAAACTTGAAACACCCCTTTGTTGTACATCTTTTAAACCTG